CTGTCTCTCAAAATGTATTCCAATCCACTAACGAAGCTGTCCGAAACAAGATGGCGAATGTCTCTATTAAAATTATAATTTGCATGTCAATAAGCGTTATTAAGATAGACGAATTGGATGCTGGCGTTTAGATAGCCGTTTTATCGAACGTCGACATCTATTTATACGAAATCGGGGGTCTAATAGTTTAGTAAGTTTAATATACACCGCATTACTTCCGATGACCACTAGTTTGATTCCACGCACAATGCAAACATTTGCATTCATGAGTAGGATTGTTTGTTCATTATGTATACGCATATATAAAAATGTATTTAATAATTCCTATCAGTTCTCAGTTGTATGAATTGTCCGGACTTATTATTATTTTCATTTATAGATGTAGGAAGTATCTTCAATTCATTCACAACTACTGTACTTTTTATTTTAATGCATGGCGATGAAATGGTACTCCCATGCGCTAACGGTATATAGCTGGCTGGACTCCAGTGGAGGATGATAGAATGAAAATGATTCAGTACATCACATCAGATATCAAGGTAGAATAAATTGTTTCAACTGCCAAAAGAACTTACTTTATAATTACTTCGGTTGAAGTGTGAGATATGGCTGTGAAATTACATGGTACGAAGGCATGCCACCTCTGATTTTTATTATTATTAAAAAAAACACGTAATTCCAAGTATGTAAGTATTCTATGTATCTTGATGTAGATTACAAAGTCTACCAAATATGTTACGAGTATATCAGCTGTTTTTTTTTCCTTTTAATTAACATTAAAAGCTAGGTCTCGCTTGGCATATCACTTGGCTACATTACTGCCTATTATTAGTATTTTTAATGTTTACCCATTAAACACAAAAAATTAAAAAGATTATGTAGTAATTTTTATTGAACCATAAATATAAGTTTACATATCCATGATATGTCTCCACTCCAATTATATTTTTAAGAATGCCATAATTTGCATCACTATTTAATTTTAGTGTACATATTTCAAAAAGATATTACAAATGTGGCAGGTAAGTCTTAAAAAATAACAGCCAACATATTAAATGTGAATGACCCAAACGCCTCCAAGTTTTACGAATATAGCCAAATTGACGACCGCACGCCGTTTTCGTAAAAATTGGTTTGTAGTTTGACAATAAATTACAACAATAAATGTTATACTGCGATAATTTAGGAATTTATTCCACTAAAAAACAAATAATCTTGACATAACATGTATGGGGACTATTAAAAAAGAAGCTTTTAAACATTAACAATGTTTCAGTAAAAATCAGATCTATAATTCAGAATTTGAATGTTTAACTTATTAATATTCTAATTTAAAAGTCTATACACAAAGTCTATATATAATTTAAAAGACTATAACTTAAAAATCTAACAAAAACCCTGATTTAAATGATTAAAAAAAGTCAAAATAGCATTTCATAAACAACCGACTTGTCGACAGTAAAAATAATGATCTAAATCGTTTTCAAAATTAGCAAACACAACGTAACATACTAAAACGAATTGAATTTTGACCTACGTTGAAGAACTGATAACAATTATATATCTTTCACATTTTTTATACAACTACTCCTTAAGTCCCTGGCTACTTATGAAGTAGGTATAGAAAATACCTGTTTCAGTATCGACTTCCATATTATGGTGTACTTATGAGATACATAATTAAAATTTCTATCAAATTTAACATTACAATATATAATTAATTATTCTCAATATTACCATATCTAGACTATTATAGTACTATACTGTTAGTTCATCGCATGATCGTAAATATAGCGACTTTAAAACTTCGCTTCATCCACTGCGCCGTGGTCTGTATTTATGTGCGCTATACATGCAATGCAAACTATAACGCTGTCTATGTAGTGTTCATTATGTTTCTTGAGTGACAATTATGAAACAAATGATATCAAACAGTAATTTCTGTTTCTAGGCAAACATTTTGAGGGATACATTGTACAAAGTCGTTCTGGCTCACCTATTTCTGCCGCAGGCAGTTTGTGTAATGTTTTTCTGTATAAAGATGAGTTTTCATATTGATATTACGGATGTATAACACCCTACTCCCTAAGAATGGCAATACATATGTCATACCACGGACTTGACACGATAATATAATGTTTATATAATAAATAAGTATGTATACAAAAACCAAACTAAGATTATTACAGAATTGATTCAAATGGACCTAAACGTCGATCAGTAATTGAGAACTGGAAGCAATGGTGAGATGTCCTGTATATAAGCTGCCAAGTAGACTTTCCCGTCGAAGGGTGAGATAAAGCAGTATAAATATAGACCTAAGAATGGCTCGTGATGCGTATCACTAGTGTTGCAAAATAACGTGATGTCCATAGTTCTGTTCATCGATATAGATGTCACTTACCAGTCGGTGGGCCGTCAACCTGTTTGCTATTCCAGTTACAAAAAAAATTACTGTTGTGGACGTTTACTTTTTATGACTTTAAAAAGATACCGTTTTAATTCTATTTGCCTGAGTTCATATTAATGTTCGTTTCCAGATTCTAAAACAGTTTTGATGATTAAGGTATCGGAACCTCTGAAATTCGGAATGTGAAGCAAGAGCAAAGTTCTCTAGTAACTTTGTTCTATTCTATACTTTAGAATATGGCGTAAAGATAAATTGATATTTTAAATTATTGCAATTTGTGCTTACGATTCTGAGAACAATAAAATGATAAGGTCATTCACATCCTAGACTATTTGCTCAACTGCGCTGAGATGAGTGTTTATTCGGACATAACTGGGTGGACATGACAAATTTGAAATTCCAAGAAGGTATCATCATTGATAATTCTCGCTTGTTGACTGTAGTCCATGACTGGGTAATAATTCGTAAGGAGAGATTTACGAGTACAATGTCAGCTTTTATATTTGAAAGGATAATAATAAACAATACAAACAAATAAAATAAAAGTCTGTTAGTAATTGCAAATTAACAGCTTTTCGTTATATGTTTATAAAAGTATATATTTACGTTATTTAGATTAAAAATGTTTAATTATTTATTTAGATTTTTTTGTTTGTCTGTTTATTCTTGCTAAACTGTACTAAGTTGCTAAGTTACTGTTATAAAGAGTAACTTAGACTAAGTACTTTTATTTTATAAATTTTATTATTTCGATAAAATAAAATAGGTAAATACCACGTCGACGAATTCGCGGGTCACGCTAGTCTAATATATAAAAATCCCGTGTTATGTTATACAAACTCAAACGAAACGGAACTATATACATATTTGGTAAGTCTGAAGCAATTACATATAACCGTGCTGCAGGAATGGAATAGTTATAAAGAAAAAAGTAGGGAAACATCCAAATGTCCAGTCCAGTCGTAATGTAAAAAATTATGAGCACAGAAGCAAAATATACAACACACACCTAGTAAACAATTACGTAATATTTACAATGACAACATGCACGCAATACAGCCTATATATTTATACATTAGGTGCGAAATACTGACGAAATCGGTACTACACTTCCTACTAGTTTTAGTCAAGTTTAAAAAAAAACTACTGATGAAGCGGCGTGTAAATAGCCACTACACGCGGGAACTTAACCGAACCTACTCTGTAGGTTACGTATTCCACAAACTTATATATTATCTGACTGAAAATAACGGTACCCACAAACCTGCAATCCAATCCGGAGCACTGTTAAAGAACAATGCACACCCCAGATCCAGGCAGAAGAAGACGCCCGGATGGCGGCAAAACACAATCTAATATAACACACACGGTCTAGGAGTAATTTTCTAGAATTGTTCTATAACGCGTGTAGGTATAAATAATTACTTAATTAAAAAAACGAACCACAATATTTCTAATTCTTATGACATTTTCATTAACAAAAACAAAAGACGGCGGGCGTGCATTCTCTTTTTTTTTCTTTTTTATTTAAAAAATATGTTCGCATTATTAGCGGCCAGTAATTTAAGAACTCGATCGAGTATCTCGGCCGGAATTTAGCCAATCGGTGACCGATAGATTATAAGTATCTGAAACCTATCAATTAATAAAGTGAAAAGATAAATTAAAATCAATATGGCCTAATGTAGTTGCAATTTAAGAGTACCTAATGCAGATATTGACAGAAATACTTATAATTTTAATTTAATCAGTTATAGAACAAACTTATGTTATATAATGTAACAAATATTTTTTTTATTTTCTCTTTATATATTTAGGAGCTTAGCACAATAGCGAGCACGTTAGCTCCGTGTTGACTTCTTAATCAATTACATAACATATAAACTTTAAATTACTATAAAGACAAATCTTACCTACTTTTATTTACAAATTTTTAAATTAATACCGATTGTTTTGTTACAGGTTCTGTTAAAATACTCTGAGAGATTCCTAAATTAATTTTGTTTAAATTTATTTTTTTCAGTAAGATTTGCCTTTCAGTGTTGTTCTTGACGCTAAACATATTTTGTGAACACTTTTTAAACTTTTCTCAGGGTTGTTTACCATTTTATAAATTATGTAACATGGATATTTCGACGCTGTTAATGTTAATATGTTGTATTATATACATAACTTACATCTATGAATATGTTTATATTAGCGTGAAAACTTTGTACAATGAATCTATAGAAGTATTAATTATACAGCAATAGAACAATTTAAAAAATATCTTCCTGCATAAGGGGCATATTTAAAAAAGTGTTAATAAAATATTGCTGTGAACAAAGTAAATTTTACTTAGATATATTATCAATTCCTTTACTCAAATTCACATTACGAGAGAATGATTTTGGTTTCTTTTTTTATGACTTTTGCTTAGCAATATCGCTAGCAGAAATGTCCAAACGTTGACGGTTGAAATACCGTTATTCGTTGTGTCAATTTCAAACATTGCAAATTGATGCTTTTGCCTTTGCCCCAAATGTATTAAAAAATAGTTTTTTTTCCTTCAATGATGGGAATACGTCAGTCACTAAACAAATAACTACCAAGTGTCAGTGACTACAAGATGAGCAGATACGACCGAGCGATCACAGTATTCTCACCAGACGGCCAGCTCCTGCAAGTGCAGTATGCTCAAGAAGCAGTAAGGCGTGGTTCTGCAGCTGTAGGTATAAGGGGAGACAACGTGATAGTCCTCGCTGTGGAGAAGAAGTCAGTAGCGAAACTACAAGACGAGCAGACGGAGAAGAAGATAGTGAGTCTGGATGAACACGTTGTGTTAGCATTTGCTGGCTTGAGGGCTGACGCTAGAGTATTAATATCTAGGTTAGTTTTTTTATGAAATTTAGAGGTAGAGTTTGTACAAAGTACAAAGTAAGTCGTGGGTACGTCAGTCTCTACTATTTCTACAAAAAGCAGTTTATTTTGTAAACTGTGTTTTGTTTGAAGGAAAGATATGACAGTATAATTACAGTATACGAGTACAAAGGCATTAATATCAGACGGATTTAATATGAAATAATAGTAATAAAAATAATAACCCTGAATAATTCACATAACGCGATCTAGTCCCAAGCTAAACAGAGCTTGTGTTATAGGAACTAAACAACTGATAGAAATACTTATATTTTTTTTGTAAATACATGCATAATATATATAGTCCTTACATAATATACTGAGACCAATACAAATGTATACTCTTGAATACGAATTGTATATAACGTGCGAGGAATCGAAACCGCGGCTAAAAAATTATTATTAAAAATATAAAAAACCCATAAACTCTATAAATAATTATAGAGCTCAAATAGAATGCCAGTCACATCGTCTGACCGTTGAAGATCCTGTAACAATTGAATACATAACGAGGTATATAGCTGAAATGAAACAACAATACACTCAGAATAATGGGAGAAGACCGTTTGGTATATCCTGCCTTATTGGCGGATTTGATTACGACGGCAATCCTCATCTATTCCAGACGGAACCTTCTGGAATTTACTACGAGTGGAAGGTACTACTTTGTGTTTTATCTCAAATTGCCTGTAAGTTTTTTTATATCATAATGATGCCAACAATGCAACTCATCTGATGGTAAAAGCTAAACTATAGGTAATAATGTATCTAAAATACTTTATCTAATGAACTAATTGTCAATCATTAGAGTTGAAGAGAATATTAAATTCTATTTTGTTATCACGTAATCTCGTAATGCCCTTTTTTAATGTTCTAACTATTCTAATGCTGTTGGCCGCAGTTGGCCTTCACTAAACGGTAGGGGGGCGATGCAGAGGACACTCCAAACCCGCGGAAGGGCTTATGAAGCGACTAAAGTCAATCTCCTGCTTAACGGATACGACTTTATATATATAAATTCTTTATTGCACTTTTAAATACAGTTCTAAACTTAAACATATACAGAGTGAGCAAAGGTGGACTTATCTCTAAGAGAGATCTCTACCAGTCAACCCAACAGTGTGGCATAGCTAGTGGTGAGTAGGTAACACCTGTGCAATTAAAACTATTATGTTAAAATCTCCAAAAGTTGAAAAAATAAAATATTTAAAATTCTTTAGTCTGAAGGCACCGCTAGGGCTTCGAACTCCGACTCAGACCGTAGTAATTAGGATCCCGTTTGAATTGGACGTGGGATAGATAGCAAGGGACTTGATGTCCATGGTGATATTCTTGTATATGATGAAAGACAGTTACCACTTACCATTAGGTAGGCCGTCAAATTCATTGTCATTCCAATTACATTAAAAAACATATATTGTTCAGGCCTGTTCAACAGGCAGATGTGACAAGACAACAAGAGAATTTCTAGAACAGAACTACACACCAGGACTTGTGGCTACTGATAAGGGGGCCATAAAGCTGGCAATCAGATCACTGCTAGAGGTGGTGCAATCTGGACAGAGGAATTTAGATGTGAGTGATATCTTATTATTTTACCGTTACTTTTTAATTACAGGCGAACACATCCCTAGCCCCCAAGCCCCATGGGCTGTGCACGAGCATTTCAATTAATACAATTAATTTACACATAACCTTAACGAATTATATATTTAATCCTTTCTCAGAAATCATTCTGTTTAATAACAGTACAGGAAATTAGCTCTGTAGTTATTGAGACTATAACGAACATAGGGAGACGTGGCGAGAAACTGTTTTATAATGTTCTTAGAAATTAATGTTAACCAATAGTATACTGTACTCACTCTAACTTTGCTATACAGTAATAATATGGCTTCCTATTGGAAAATTAATTTTCCAAATTAGTTCGGTAGATCCAGAGATTACCCCTGCAACCTTACAAACTTTACCTCTTTATAGTATTGGTATATATTACTCGGAATATTATTATTTGAAATATTCGTGGAAGTCCAGGAAAGGTTTAAACGATGAAGAAATTGCATGTAAAATAGTAAAAACAATCATTTCATTTTCCCATACAAACTGCTGATACCTGTTAAACCAAAAAAAACCTTTGACATATTTAATTTTGAGGCGGAACGGAGTACGCGGGGTCAGCTAGTAATTGTTGTAAAAAAGTTCTAATTTAAAACTTAACAAAATTCCTTCAATACTCGTTCACAGTTGGCCGTTATGAAAAGATCGCAGCCAGTTCAAATGCTAGAACAAGAAGTTATTCATTCAATCGCTCGTGAAATAGAGAAAGAAAACGAGGACGCTGAAAAACAGAAGCAAAACTAGTGCTTACTACAGCCTACCATTTATAGATGCTATAACGTTATTTATATTTTTAATAATTATTTTGATTATATTACAACTGCAGAAGGATACAATTGTATTTGTGTATTATAAATCTGACTCCACATCTCATTCAGGAAGGTATATTACTATTAAATATCTAGAACTTTGTAGCTATGTTATTACTGTTTTTAAATGTTTTTGAATGTTCTTGCTAATAAAATTATTATAATAAAATAAATATTACCTTTTTATTTACCTATTAGAGGGATCCTTTGCACAAATTTGACAACAATGGCTTATATTATGTATTTACCATATTATTACGGCGAGGATAAATAGTATTTTGTATGTTGTTAGTGTAGGTGGATTACACTAACAAAACAATACATTTTAACAGCCATAAGCAATTATTACCATTTGGCAAAGTTCATCTATAAAACTTGAGGGAGACATCATATTACATATGTATGAAATAACATAAAAGTCATGTATGAGATTATAATTATTGAGCTTTATTTTTTACTGTAGGGGTTATATGTTACTTGTCGGTTATCTTCTCTGTGGACTACCTACAAGAGTTATGCATGAGGTTTGCCACTTTATTGTTCGCCGGTTGCATAGAAACAAAGTTAATCAGAAAGTCGGGACTGGTTGTTATAGCGAGCTCTACAGAAAATGCATTTTCAGTAATGTACAGTTTTTAGCTAATCCAAATCGAAGACTTATAAATTTTTATCGCATACTTCCGGGTTGGAACAGATAAAATATCTATAAATATAAAGTATTAATAATAATATTATTTATTCAGATAATAACTTTATCACATTATTAAGATATAACCTATTATAGATTGCTTTATTATAATATTGTAGTACCTAACCATGAAATATCACGTAGGCATTACCCTACTAGCCTAAACAGTTGAATGAAAACTAATATGTTTCTTTAGTTTCGTTTTCAGCTCGAGTTGGACTTCCATGTTTTGTAGTGGCGTCAGCGAATTGACATACGTAGTGTGAAACGATTTATGTAGGGAAGCAATAAGGAATTGGAAGCCAATAGCTAAAGATCGTGACGAGTGCATACCTTGAAAAAGGCCTATGTCCAACAGTGGACTGCTGAGGGCTTATGATGTTGATGACGGCACCTACCGTCCATGTATAATAAGTACAGTGATAAAATTATTGATTTACAAAAAATATTTTAAGTAAGTTTAATTTAAAAAAAAATTAAATACCTTCTTCGACGGTGTTATATTCACGTGCAAAAGATATTTCATTACTGAAATTAATTTAATTACCTGAAAGAAAAATATACAATATTAGTTCAAGTACTAGTAGCGACATCTATTGGTCAGGTGACGAACTACAAAGTTGTTCATTCTCGATCGAAAAGAGAGTTGTTTTTGCGGCTATGCGCCGATAGAGTGCGACAGTAGTCTAATATAAATTATTAAGAGACATTTTGGCGCGTATTCTGAATGACTAGTGTTGTAAAATTAAACATTTTGTCTCACAATGCATCTTATTGATTGTTTTGGAATTTACCTGTGTTACTGTAGATACCTACTAATTATTTTGACATGTTGGTTTTACTTGTTATATAGTTGTTGATGGAACCATGTTTTTGAGTCAATACACTTTATTATCAAGAGTTTATACATACAGGTATATAGACAAATTCTCGCATTGTTTTATTGCCTAATTCTAATTAAGAAATTTATTTAAACCATTGTAAAAATAAATTATATAACCATTATCAAGCAATATTCAAATGTCAACAATTTATTTAGTACTGAATTACAGGAACTATTATACATTAGCATATTCTTTGTGACTGATTAAAATTATTTTGATAAAATTTATTATACCTATAAGTATTTAACTATTGTTGGAATTGTAGAAGAATGAAGAATTCAGTTGTCCTCTGATCGATCCTATATTCCATTCAAACGGAGATCGAAATTACAACAGCCTGAGCCGAAGTTCAAAACCTATCCGGTATCTAAACTAAAGTCTAATTGGAAGGCAAGAATTGGTTGAAGGACGAACCTTTAAGCGTCTCCATAAATCCTTCCATGGTTTTAGTGTACCCTCGAACTCACAACTATTTTTATCCTGTAAAGCTCTGAAGGTTGTGTCTGAACACTATTATAATAGTTTGAAAGGATATGAAAACAGTAGAGAAAAAATTATTATACAAAAAATTTGACGTTCATAAGCGGCTAAAATGTCCTATATGAATGATTTTTGATTTGATTTTAAAAAGAAGTGTATAGTGAATTCTGAGATAAAATATTCTGTTTACATTAAAGTTACAATAAATTTTAAAATCAAATGTAGTAATTTAATGAATATATTAAAACGCCATAAGTATAATAATTTGTGAAGACCACAGAGAGTTTACATGATCTTACTAATATTATAAACGCGAAAAATTTTAAGTATGGATGGATGTTTGTTACTCTTTCACATAAAAACTACTGAACAGTTTTTGATGATACTTTACAGTAATATAGCTAAAGATATTATATAAAATGGGCGAAATATAATGATAAATGTCTAGTAAGTATGATGCAGACAAAATGCGCAGGTCATCATATTAATTAAAAGTACAATTTAATCTATACCATAGGTCTCTGAGCCGGCAGTTACATCACAAGCAATCAATCAAATCATAGCCTGAAGCAAAATCGATGATCACCGGAAACTATATATCGGAACAAATCAATTGATACAATAAACCTATCATTTTTTCGACTACAGACAACAGAGTTATGTTTTTTTTAACAACCGTACACTAATTGGCCGTTAAGCGATTTGATCTGCATTCTTCGGCTTTTTTCAACTTATTTTTTATTGTATTGTATTATGTTATTATTAGCAATTCTAAAAGACAACCTTACCGTTGAGACGTTGCCTGATTTTTTATTATTAAAGTAGGCCTACGACTACAATAGACATATATTCTTCGGTTACCCTCTATCTTTACATCTATCTTATCCATTTACTTTCAAACTTCAAATCATGATCTTCATTCCTCCGCATAACATGTCCATATCAATATATGTAAACATGCTCATAAATATTGACAAATGATACTTTGTACACAGATCAAACCTACGATCCTCAAAAGCTGAGGCAACGTGCAAAACCACTACACCAACAAGGTAGTTAATATTTTTATAATCTGTATTCGTGGCTGTATATGCACTGTTCCATTGACTAATAACGTACGTGATGAGAGTTTCAGATTGCAACTTGACAGTTAAAAAAAAAGTTTAGATGCATTTCACACGGCTGGTAAGCGTGGTATGTTTATGGAATACAAATTATAATATAATACATAATGTAGGTTAAGGCATGTTGTTTTTGCCAAGTCGTTGTGTAGTGGCATGGAAGTATTTTGAATAGGAAATTGCACCAGAACGAGACTTACTGAATGAGTTTCAACATCTATCTTACATCTTATAGATGGCCTCAGTGGTTTATTGGTTTAGTACATCGTCTTATTTCTAATGGTCGCGGGATTCATTCCTCGCGCAGTACAGATATATTTATGCATAAATATCGTTGTTTATATCGATCTGGTTAATTTCTACTTTCTTTTCTTTCTTTCTAAATGTGTTAATGTGGTAATTAATCGATTAAATTATGTCAACACACAATTAATAATAATTACAAACAATGACCGTTTGTTCTTTTGTTTCAGTATAGTGTCGTTTTCATGTCAGCTGTATAATTGTGAGTCAATGTAATATCTTAGATTGAATAATTCATTGTAATTTCTGGGGTCATCTTTGCAAACTATATTTTGGTTTAACTCAATTCTAAGCCGATTTAGATCATATTATTAATAGATAGAGTTCTATTTCGGTACTATACTCATCGGATTGAATTGAATATTTTTGCTAAACGATAAATAAAAATATTTCCAATTATATTGTATTCGAACTGAACGGCAAGTTCATCCTGTGTTGCTGCAACGCGATCTCCGGTGTACATTCAAATCAACCTTGGCCACAGGACCGCCTGTTCCGGGCTGGAGGCGCCCGAACCGGTTCCTTAGAATGCTAGGGTTGCCGATTTGCAATGTACTTTAAATAAACAGATTACCAGATACTGTCGTATATAAAAATCTTTAGTAATATTATAAATCCGAAAGTAACTCTCTCTGTTGGAGTAACTCTATCTGTCTGTTTTCACGCCAACACCACTGAATCAATTTAAATGAAATTTGTACACAGATAATCTAGACCCTGAGAAAAAATATAGGGTATTTTTTAATCCGAAAAAGGGTTGCAAGGGGTTGAAAGGTTACATAGAAGTATAGTCATTTTTAAAGCCAGAAGCTTGAAACTTATTTTTAGGCTGTTGATTAAACATAAATAAAAAAAGGATTGCAGGCAACCCAAAACCAACCAAACGCAATCCAAAATTATGAATAAGATGGCGCTGATATGTGCACGTATATTTATTCAGTCTTCGTTAATCTTAAAACATATGTAAAAGTTTTTGAAATTCAAATAGTTTTAGTTCAAACATGAAATTTCATATAGCAACCCTATATTCAGCTCGTCTCCAGCATCATTGCATTACTGATAGCATCGGTATGCCACTGTTGTTCTCGGCAGATCATAATCTGTGATACTAATCATAAATCATGTTACGAACTGGTTGTTCTCGTTAACTCTTCAAGATATTTCAAAATGGCAGCAGTCTACTCACTATAATAATCTTATCAATGTAGACGTCCATTGCTGAACACTTTTAGAGAAGAGGAGACGGTGAGTTTGATTAGTTATGGGAAACAGGGAACCATGTTAGATCGACCTCTACACGATCTGGTCCCCTTTGTGGTTTATTATTAGATATCGCAATTATGGAATGATGCAAACTGATCTGTCTTCATGCTCATCCTATCACCCTCCACTGGTGCCCGCCAGCGTATACCACTAGTGCTAGGTCGATTATCATCCATAAAAAATATATAAGCATTCTACTCTCTCCATAGAAATTTTGACAGCGTACGACAACCAGACTGAATACCTTTCGGAAACTTGGATTTGAAAATTAGCTAACGCAATGACTACGTTTTAATGCGATTGAAATAAAATAAACATTTAATTTTAAATGAAACTCACTATAATACGTAAGTTACCGCTCCTAGATCCGATAAGTCATTTTTGATTATTGGTTATATGTC